AACAACATCGAAGTTTGTTACAGGCTTTGAGAAGTGGTGGAAATTAAGCCCAAAGCTACAAAATCAAAAGGCATCGGAAGAGCGCCTATGTTGTCTTGAAAAGTGGAAAGCATTGGCAGCAGGACTTGGGATACACAAAACAAACGATGCCGAAAGTATTTCTGTGATGGACAGGGAGAAGAAAAAGTGGATGGATATCCTGCATGGATTGCTGGACATCACATTGTTTCTTGCAAAGCAAAATCTGGCATTTCATGGCCACAACGAAGATGAATCTTCACTGAAACTTTCTTGAAATGTTTGAGATGCTATCTAAATATGAGCCAGTGCTAAAAGAGCACCGAATGAGACTAAAGAGGAGTGCGTCTACAGAAAAGGCATCCGCATATTGCCTTTCACCCGAAACCCAAAATGAATTTATAAATGTCTTTTCAAATCATGTGAAGGAGATTCTTATCATGGATATAAAGACTGCGAGGTATTTTGGAATTATGTTCGAAAGTACACCTGATATTCCACACAGTGACCAGATGTCTGAAGTGACCAGATGTCTGAAGTGATCAGATATGTTGATAATCCACAATGGGAAAATTGACGCGAGAGAAGTGTTTCTTGCATTTTCCCGTTAAGATTGAAAAAAGCTGATGACCTCAGTTCTGACATTCTTACAAATCTAAAAGGTGATAGATTAGACATAATAATGCTCAGAGCTCAAGGTTACGATGATGACACCACAATGTCTGAAATTCATGGAGGTGTTCAGGCCATTCTGAAAAGAAATAATAAGAAAGCAATAATTTTTAGTTAATGGCAGTGTAGGCCATTCACCTGTGTGGTCAACACTCTTTGCAGAAAATGCTTCACGTATTAAATTTGCCTGTACTTTTGAAGAATATTTTCCTTTTTTGATGCATCCACTCATCGATGGAATGTTCTAATTGAACACGCCACTGGAATGTCATTGAAATGACTGTCAACAACGCGTGAGAGTGCTCATCATGCTGCTATTAAAACAGTGAAAGATGAGTTTGGTGAATGTGTGGCGGTGATTTAAGCTCTGTGTGATCCTCTTGGTGATTTGGAAACAAGAGCTACAGCACAAGGTCTTTTACACGCTGTCTGTGATGACACGTTTATCTGCTACCTGTACCTTTGGCATGATCTACTTGAGGAAGTTAATCTTACACATCAGTATGTGCAAACTAATGGCGTTACTCTTGACAAAGCGGTAACGAACCTAGAGGCTTTAAGGTGGTTATTGCACGAGAAGCGCCACCACTTGGTGGAACATGCTTTTGAAAATGCTCTATTAAAATCAGACCAACATGGAATTTCGGTAGAGAGAGGATTGAGGTTTAAGAAGAGAATGGCAGGAGAACAATTAAGAAATGCTGAACTCTTTCTGCGGAAAGAAAACAGTAGGGAGATGCTAGAGTGTATTGATCGCTTTCATTCTGAACTCCAGATCAGATCATCAGGAAGTAACAAATATGTTTGGGGCTGTTCACCCCAAGAGTCTAGTTAAGGCAAGTGAAGAAGATTTATTGTTGTCCGTTCCAAAGTTAACTTCTTTCTAGGATGCGTTATCAGAGGATGAACTTTTAAAAGAAATACCAAGGCTCAGAAAACATCTAAAAGCAGTATATATTGAATTTCACAAAGTCATGGACTTGTCTGTATTTGATGTTTTTAAATTCATAGCTGAATGGGACTTCCTAGAATCTCTTCCAATACTCTCGCTAAGCCTTTAATTTTTTTTCTTACGATATGCGTGTATGCGGCTTCATGTGAGCGGAGTTTTTCAAAACTAAGGATTATCAAGAATTATTTACGATCCCCCATGTGACAGTCATGGCTTTCTGATGTGGCTCTGCTGTCAATTGAATGTGATACAATGAAAGACATTGATTTTGATCAAGTGATTGAAAGGTTTCCAGCTATGAAGACAAGGAAAGGAAAATTTTAAATAGAGTAAATTTAATGTAAAAATAATTATAAACTTAACGTTGTTACAGTTTTTAAATACATTGACCTCATGACCTTCGATTTATGTGTTTTTGTTCTTATCACTGTTAACGTTATACTGTGGACTTTTTTAACAAGAAGAAATCCATCATGGAATTTCGGGATGGAAGGGGAGGGGGGTTGACACCATGATTTTACCGCACCGGGTGACACCAACCCTAGCTACGTCACTGCTTGGTCTGGGTGTGACGTACATGCTCTCCGGTATTTTCGCGCGTTACTTTTTAGGGCGGGCACACTAAGGAATTTTATGCGAGGTTTTCATCGCATCCCTAAAGTGCAGCAATGTTCACGGCGGTCCTGTGGGCGCTCTGCAAGTAGAAGCAAATAGTCTACGCCTTTTTATTCCCGTGTTGGTAGAGAGCAATTGGTGGGTGTTAGTGATGGAATACTTCTGTTCATGATTTAAATATTTAATCACTAGTTAGCTCCGTCAATTTGACTTAAAACCATGATATTGTGATGGCTGAACATACAGCCGTCCACTGAATTCTTAAATGGAATTAGAAACCAGTGTATGTGAGTGTAACACGAAACCATTATATCGTTCTGGTTACACATACTGCAAATTGCTTATAAGCTATTGATACAACAATAAACCGCTAGCAAATATACGTAAAATATGTGTAATAGGGTAACTTTTCTGCCTTGTGCTAAATCTCACATAGGAAATGGTTAATGTTATGGGATAATATTACCAGCTGTACTAATATAATTAGAAGACATTTCGCAATTCGCTTTTGTCATAAAAAAACACAGCGATTGAGTGATGCGATTATCTAACTAACGGGGGTTATACCTTACACCATTGTAGTACCTGTCCTGCTATGGGTGCATCTTACATAGACCCCTTACATGGACGACACTACCACAGTAATTTCTAGACCTGTATGTTAGCCCTCACATCTCACACTGGTTATGTGTGTAAGGCGGAGTACAAGTTAAACACTGCTACGTGCTTAATTTTACAATCAACATTATTACAATAATATAATTTTAAATGCCATTTGTATAACATGCACTACTCTAATGTTAGTTAAGTATAATTTGTCACAACCTGTAATTACAGGGTCAGTTAATATGGTTATTGGTTAGCTGTGTTATTCAATGTTAGTCAGGAAATTTCTTTAGTGTATATCAGTAAACCTGTCAGTCTCGTTCATCACCACCACCACACAACCTTGCTATAGTTAGTTCTATGATAAAGGGCAGCAGTTTATTTAGGTTAACCTGATGATACCGTTTAAAAATTGCCTTATTAAAGTGTTTAATGGAAGTAAAGTTTATCTTGAATATTCTATTTTACTTTATAGATTTCTGTCTTACAAAATAAAAATATTCAGCTAGTTTTTTGTAGGATGTTCAAGATTTGGTAAATTTTTAGACACATCGAAACAAAAGTTTTAGTGGTTCCTAAAACTAAATTGACTTTTGAACCCCTAAGATACTGACTGTTCAGGAGTTTTTTGTCTGTTATTGCTGATGGAAGAAGAAGATGAAATATATGATGATGATGTCTTTTAGAGAAAATAAGACCCTTAGTTGGAGCTATATCGGTACACTGATGAGGATTTGAGAAATGTGTTTATTTTACAGCATATTTAAATCATTCTTTAAATAATTTTATTAACTTATTTCATACATTTTTTATACATAAATTACACCTTAGGAAAACAAATACAAAACAAAAAAATACAGGCCAAATTGTGTTTAATGTTAACAACCAAAAAATTCTTGTATAATGAATTCAATATCATAATGGTCATGACAATAACATCAATAGCTCAATGATAGCTGCTTATTCTGGCCTGAAATTTCCGCTGTTTGTCTCTCATTTGATATTCAATACTTCTACCATAAAACATCTACCAGATTAACCTAAAACTGCATACCTGTTACTTAACTAATAATTTGTGTGTTATGAACACTCTTTTAAACTTTATAGAACTACATGTTAAATCATTTAAATGATAATATTAGAATAAAAGTGAATCACGTTAAATATCTATATTTAGAAATGAAAATATATTTCATGTCCATGACTTTATGCTAATTATGATCAATGCAAATAAGACAGTGTATATACCATGCCTAGAGCAGGGTTTCCCAATCTTTTTAACTATTTATAAATTGTTCAATCAAGTCTCCCATCCCCTATAAATTTTAGACTAATTCACAAACCCCCACAAAAAATCAATGTATTTTAAAATTATAAAAAATTGGAATTCTTAAGTTTTCATTAAATTACAAGAGAGCTAACTGTAGAATAGAAAACATATTTGTGAATTGTCATATAATGTCTCAATAAATGAAATGAATAGTTATAAGGATATAAGAACTTATAACATTCTTAAATGTCCTCCTCTATTCTTATAATCACATTCTTCTAACTCCCTGAATGCCATTTCACACTCTCTGAAATGCCATCCGGCAACCCAACATCCCACATTGGGAAACCATGATCTAGAACAGAGGTCTCTATTATACAGTTGACAACATTAGGCTTCCAGCCTATAGGACCTCATTTCACATGAACAAAAAAATATCCAAACCTTTAGAAAGAAATGATTTCATACAAAAAAATTTACTTGAATAGGAGTATTGTTTTTTTGAAAAACTAGGTGAAATCTCATATTTTAATATTGTAGTTTAAGGTAAAAATAGCTAATGTTTTAGATGTACAGGGTGGGCCAATAAAAGTGAGAACGTCTCGTCAAATATTACGCTACGAGATGTTCTCACTTTTATTGGCCCACCCTGTAAATTTGTTTAATTTTTTTTTTTTTTTTTTTTTTTTTTTTTAAATTTTTTTAATTTTTTTTTTTTTTTTTTTTTTTTTTTGCAACTTATGATCAGAATTGGTCATCAATTAAGCGAAGATCCCATTTTAACATGTGGCTTAAACAAACCCTAGATCAATTTTTCTTATAGTGGTTTTCTTTTTTTAATTTTTTTTTTTTTTTTTTTTTTTTTTTGCAACTTATGATCAGAATTGGTCATCAATTAAGCGAAGATCCCATTTTAACATGTGGCTTAAACAAACCCTAGATCAATTTTTCTCAAAGTGGTTTTCCCCTCAACTGGTGCCGCACGTGTGTCTTATGTTAAGGTCTGCATGAAATGAGGCAAGAAACTGTAAATAATTTAAAGAAATTTACAAAGCCAATAAAAAAATATAACTGCTAGCATTATTTGGTAACACTTAATAGAGTTTTATCAAATTGGTTGATCATGGATTTAAAAAAATTTTATGACATGTTTAAGGTCAAATAAGAATATCAAAATAATTAATATATCTGGCAACGGCCCGTGGTGCAGTGGGAAACTATTCCACAGGTCCACAAAACTTAAAAGTTTAGGAACAAAATGGCCTAAATAAAGCTGAACATGTGACCCACACACAAACCTCAATAAAAGCTGAAAATGTAGAATGCATCTGCTCAAGGTGATAACCCTACACAAATGAAGCCATTCTTAACCCCTTAGATTTGTGCATTTAAGTATACTTTAGCGAGTGTTCATGAAATTTACATGTAATCATTAAAAGATAAGTACATATTTATTGATATCTGGTTTCTTTGTGTACAGCACTTAACATATTATTTACAGATAAAGTCACATAATAAAACAACTAAATTCATTGCATCCAATGTTTAAACAATAAAGAGATAATAAAATCCATAATTTTATTCACATGAAATAGTCATAAAACATGAAATAGTCATTCTCTGAATTATCAATTTTGATTTTGTGAAAATGTAATTTAAGCAAAAAAATTATTTTTAAATAACTATTGTAATAAAAGTGTGTAAATTGGATTGAATGTTGACATTAAGCTTAGACATTACAACTATTTTCAACTAGATCCTTTATACATTATTTTAAGTAGTTTAGGAATGTGCCATGAGTTAAATGGATTATTTTATTCATTGAATGGCATTATGAAGAAGCTATAATTCTTTACCAATTTGAACATCCGCCTCATCTCACAATGTAACCACTGATCAGATAGCATGAAAATTTAATTTTATTCAAGATAAAGAAAGTTTAAATATGTTTACATTTCTTTTAAGTGAATTAAGCAAAAAAAATATTCATGATGGAATCAAAATGATAAGAGCATATAATAAGTGATGAAAACATGAATCCAAAATATATCACAGATAAAGGCATTCAATAAATAAAATTTAACCAACATATGATGTCTCAATAGCTGATTAGTTAAATATTATTTGTAACAAAATGTAAAAAGGTAATAGGGCTTATTTTAAAAAAGTTTGAAGAAAATTGATGCAGAAATAATTAAGGTACTACAGTTAAAAAATAAAAAATAAACTGATTTCAATACAAAAATGTCTAGAATAATAATAATGTTATTTAAATTTAAGAGTGGCAAAAGGCAGTTTGAGTGATTCACAAAAAAAAGGACACTGCTATCATAAACAGGAATTGGCTTGTTACAATTAACAATAGTTTTGGCAAGATTGTTGTTTGTTTTACAGGGAATGAAATAATTGATGGAAGTGCCAATTTAGAAAAGCAAATAATTTTGTTCTACGCCTTCAAATTTATGTACCAACACACAGCCCTTAGATCAACTTCTTCCCACTGAGTATTACAACCTCAGTTCCTGTTTAGATCTGCTTAAAATTAGAAAGCTCTTGCTTCTTATTGCTCTCAACTTTATGTTCACATATGCATATATGGCCTCCACTTAATGTTTACATGTTCATATAATATGCTGCACATGTACCAATAAAGCCAACAAAGTTTCAGTTTTATCATCTAAGGCTGTTTGGTTACCAGAGAGTGGATTAGGCAATACTGCATTTAGCTTTTTTAGTATATTACCCACTGCTTAATAACACATGTGGTTAAAATTATAGACCTATTTCCTCATTTATAGTTACCAATCTGTACTGACCTTATTTGGTGTCAGCCATTCTTAAATGGAAATTTAAAAAATCATTCAATTAATAAAGAATTATAATTTAATTTATACATCACTGGCCATTGAATTGAGATTCACCTATGATTTAACTAAATGTTACTTAAGCTAGACATAATATTTTTTAAAGACAGTACTTCATTATCTATTGGGTTTGTTCAAATGTAACTAATCTGTACAAGGAATTTGATATGCTCCCAAATATATAAAATGCAACGCATAAATCTAGCACAGTAGTGTACTAAAAATTCCTTGTCTGTTATTATTGCATGTTAGATCTGTTTCTAATCTCCTGGGCATTTTGGTAGTGATCAAAGCTTTCAGATCCATTTCTTGGGGGTGGTATTTGAGGTTTATAGGTGGTTGGAGCCAAATTTGCAACACTAGCAGACATTGTTGTACTTCCCAGAAGACCTTCAAGCTTTTTCTTAAAATTTTCTGGAAGGCAAAAAATTATAAAAAATTAAGGCAAATAAAGATGTAAACTGTAAATGAAATAAAGAATTATTAGAAATGCATTCATATCTCAAGTAAAAATTACCAAAAACTGCTGAATCCTCTGATGAAGGCACAAAAAGTGATTGGTTAACAAAACTCTTTCTTTTTTTAGTGCATTTTTTAATAAAAGTTTTTTAAATAATTTTTTAATATTTTTTTTATAGCACCAGTTACAAAGCTTTAATTTATTTGCTAAGATTTGCAAACAATTTAATTTTGAAATAATAATAAAATAAAGTTGATTAGGAAATTTAAAATAAATAACAATACATGCAGGAGAAATAAATCATGCCTAAAACTTGAATAAATAAACTTTGAGTTCAGTTCTGTGAAATAAAGTCACACCAGCCAACAACCAGCACTTATTTATTGTGTTATAAGTTTCTTAAGTAAACAAATCAATACCAAAATACCAAATCTAGTGAGGTTAGTACAGCTTGTGGCATAAAAAATGAAAGCCATCTCTCAATTTAAACCAAGATAATGGTAGTAAAAAAAAAACACCATCAACTTTTAGATTATGAATCACCTTCTAAGGAGTTATGTTTACACATTTCTGATTGACTTCTCCGTATGGAAGGTGTGAAAAATGTGTCTGTGCTGGGCCCACTGAAACTGCCTCTGGCTGCCCTTGCAGCTTTAATGTCATCATAGTTGGCAATAATATCTATGTAAGTATTTGAGGACTTCACATTCAAAAAATTTGTGGCAATTTCCCCAACTTCTGAATATGTTCCATTTAAAGAATATTGTGAAGTGGGACGTGAGCATGTTTCTAAAGTGCTGGCTCTTTTCAAAATGGACACATTTTCTGTATTGTCATCATTCAATTTTAGTTCTGAATATTTCTGTACAGGCATCCAAAAAATGCTTTCATAGACCTGATCAGGATTTGAAACATAATGAATGATCTGGCTGGTTTGATTTTGAATAACCTCATAATCTTCATTCTCTTCCATTAATTTTTGTAATGTTATGTTTTTCTTCAATGCCATTTCATGTTGCCAGTTTGCATTCTGGGACTGACTGTCAATATCATGTTCTACTTCAGCAAAATTGTTTCCATTGTTTGAAGTCTCAATTTTAAGAAGATCATATTTGCCCAAATAATTTATCTCAGAACATTTTATTGGGATTTTGGTTTGCTCTGAATTTAAGTAAAATTTAAATGCTGGAGGGAGTACCATGCTTCTTTTTATTTCATTATCTGGTTCCTCCAAGTCATCTTTTAATTGCCTGCTTTGTGGGGATTCTTCATTTTGGAAAATGTCCAGGATGCTGAAGGTTACATTTTCTACAGATTCATACAAATCGGAGTTTCTAGAATGATGTACTGAATAATCAGTAGAAGGTACAGTGCCTCTATTTAAAGCATCAGTCACTGACATATCAACCAGTTCATAAGTACTTTCTTCCATGTCTTGATGGTGTAATGTTTCTCCACTTGGTCCTGCACAGCTTTCACTCTCATCGCGATTTGAACTATTGGCAGCTGGTGTTTTATTTGGTGAATATTCAGTAGAAATCAATGCATTTTCATAATTTTGTATCCATATTATTGGCAAATCTTCTCGAACTTTGGAATAAATTATATCCATGTCATCTCTTAAACTGTTTTCTGCTATTGTTATTGATGTGGGTTTTACAATAGCTGTGAAAGACAAACACACAAAAAACTCCAAACTAGAGCCAAATGACAAAAACAACACTCGAATTATTTATTAGAAAATATATTTTATGATTATGGCATTATCTTAGCTGAGTAGGTCTCTTTTTTTATTTTCCTTCAAATAAATAAAATGTGACAGAGATTCAAATCTGTAATGGGTTTTTTTTTATTGACGTTGTTAAGCATATAACTGCAAACTACAAAACAATTACAATAATCATTAAATCACATATCATATAGTTGTCTCACTTTTAAATATGGCCTACAAGAATGTTTAATAGTGAGATTAAAACAAGAACAACTTTCTAAGGATGATACTTTACTCATTTATTTGAAAAAATATAAAGAGGACTTGAAGTACAGAGACAAATTGAAAGAACATTTTAAAAATCATTATCTTATTACCTGAAGGTAAATCATTTGTTATATAATTAGCACATCAGATCCTTTGTCTTTGTTCATTTAATATTTTACTTACAGATATTTGTTGTTTTATACTGACGGATGCGGGATATTTTCAACCTTTTAGAACTAAAATTATAAGAAGCTTCTACCTTTTGAAACAGGAGCACCACTCGATGAACTTGTTTGTTTATTTGAGTTATCACTTGAGGACTTAGGAGCTACATCAGGTCCCTGAGTATTAAATAGAATAAAAATAGCTAATATAGTGATGTCACCTTGTTTATGCAATGTTTATTTTTGCTAATTCTTCATTTTGGTACATAAATAATATCTTTAAAATCGAGGAATAAATTTAGCTTTTATGAAATAGGCCCTTCTTTTGTTCATTATTAATAAAATAATAGAGATGCAAGAAAGTAGGACCTATAAATTCAGGCTTGTTTTACCTTTTCAAGTCCTATTAATATTCATTTGTTTTTTAAAATACAAAATTAAATTAAAAATAAATGACTGAATGTATTGCTCTATCTCCTTTTAATCCCAAATGCTATGAGATATTTTTCCTAAACAAGCATTAACAGCTAGTCTAAGTGATGATGGTCAGATACATAGAAGAAAATTTTATTCAAGTTTGTTAGCTTAAATGTGATAAAAAATTCAAGTACCAAAACTTGAGTCATTCAGATTGTATACCTACCTTTTTGATGTTTTGTTCTTCACATACACTTTTTGAATATTTAAGTGTGGCTTGCAGCTTGTGTCCTTGACCATCAGCTGAGCTCATTGAATGAAAAGTTCTTGGTCCCACACCTTTGGGCTGATTTGATATTAAAAATGAGAAAAATATTATTGTATGGGAGTAACTTTAAAAGTTTTATTTTTAACACTATCAACTTAAGATGATTTGACTTTAAAAGATACTAAGACCTTTAAAGCTACATTTTATATGATAAAAATCTTCTTTATAATTAATGATATGAGGCTTAAAGAATAAATTTGGTAATGTTAAACATAAACAATTAAAGAAATAATAAACAATTTAGAAACCATTTATTTTTACCTAAAATTTCCATTTCAAAATTTGTAAACATTTTGCACAATTGAATTGTTCATTATATATTTATTTTTAAATTAAGTGAATTTTTTTTTAAATATCAATTCCCTTTACTACTACATTGCATTCTGTATTTTTAAATATTTTAAGTGTGATAAAACAGAAAACATACATGGCATGCATTGTCCAGGCTTGCAGAGTGCTTCAGAGGTGGGGGATGGTTAGGTGGTAATGGTGGGGGAACAGAAGCTGGGTGGTTGGGCGGCAGGGATGGGGGAACAGAAGCTGGGTGGTTGGGTGGCAGAGAAGGACTTACAACAGAATGAGTTTGGCTTGATTGTTTTATTGTTGATCTCACTGGAGAAAAAGTTATTACTTTTTTATTAAGTCAGTTTTTCAACATTTCATAACAGTAATTTTTTTTAAAAAAGCTTTTATATTGGCCCACTTAAAATTAAATAAATAAATTATATTATTATTTTACAAGATTGTTTCTTTTAAGGATGGGAGATATAAGTTTTTAACAATATAAACTTCAGACCTTTAAGCAGTATTTCCTGATAAATAATCTTACAAATTTAATCTAGTTCATTCATTCTCAAGCTGTACAATTCCGATGGATTTTTATTTATATTTATATCAATCAGCATATAACAAATGTAGATATAGATTTAAAAATATTATATGTTACCTTGTTCTCGGTTTGACATTTGCAAACGCATTAAGTCTTCTGGGCTAATATTTGGGACAGACTTTGATCTTGAGTTCTTATGGGGTTGAGGTCCTATAAAATTTGAAGTAAAATCAAAATAAATATTTAAAAAATACCTTTATTTAAAACACAAAGAAAGTGCAGGCTTTTCTAAATATAGTATTCTAAGATAACTAAAAGACAAGTAAAGAAATAATGAGAAGAACAGCAACAAAATAAAGATTATTGACTATACAGAAGTATTAGATTTCATATAGTTTATTTTCAACATAATTTTTATCTTGGAAGACTGCAAAGAAAATTTTTAAAATAAGAATAAAAAAGCTTAACAAATGAAGTAGCATAATGTCATTATAATATTTAACAAACAAACAAACAAACAAAAAAAACTCACACTTAAAATCCAGTTTTTAAGTTTTTAACTTGTTTCTATTTCTTGTCCTATTTTTATCTGTCCAGTTTTGCTGATGAAGGCTCTTGGCCAAAACGTTTTTGTCTTACTGTCCTGTTTCTTAATTAAAGCTTCCACATACCTTTTTCAACTACATCCTTCACACTTAACATTCAGATTTGTAAAAATGGCTTATATCAATAATGCTACACATTATACTTAAATTACTAATATTATGACATTCTTTACAATGTTAATATTGCAGTATATATTTATAAAGCTTATAATATAATTACCTGTAGCTAAGTGATCCTGAGTTAATCCACTAGTTCTATTAGCAAAACTTATCTGTGAATGAGCTGGAGGTGGAGGTGCACATGGTTCTGGGGGACCTTCATTTATTGATGAATTCAAGTTTTACAAAAATATTTAAATAATGAGTTTAATTTATTTTTACTTCTTTACTTATCAATTATTTTTTAAAATTTTAATTGACATCAAGTTATAATCTATTGAGCTCAACTGTGATAGGCTGGCAATACAAATATTTAATTGTTAAGACTAGATTAGGAAGAGTATTTTTTTAACTAGGTTCAAGACATTATAAGATTTTTATATAAGATGAATAAGAAGCATGCCATGAAGAGATTTCAATTTGACTTGACACAATAAGAAGAAAATATTTACAAAAAGATTCTTTGTATGCAAGATGTGATATTGTGAAAGGGGCATTTGTTGAACACAATAAATACAAATGTGATTACTCCTTTTAAAAGATAATGCAACACAAGAATTAAAACAGCTAAAATTTTGACTTAACATTAAAATTGTATGTTTGATATATTTAAATATTTACATAATATTAAGCAAATGTAACCTACCTAAATAAGAATCTGTTGAAAATTGTGGCCCTTCAAATGCTGAAAAATAAAATAGTTATGCAATTAAAATTAAAGAACTTAGACTAATTAGATTTTTAAAATTAAAGAAGATATTATTTGATGCCTATTAAAACAATTATTAAACATAATCATTTGTATAATCTAGTATCAAAACACTCTAGAAATCACATGCAAATAAAGAAATGCACAAAATTATTAAACAAAACTTTGTTAGTGGGGTGCTAAATGAGTTAGCATTTCCAGTACAATTTAAACAAGAGCACATTGACATTTTGTCTTACATTTATAGTTACAGTAAATAATTTTACATTTCAAAATTGATTTAAGCTTTTGCTTTAAAAAGTTTTCCTCATTCTAAAACTGATTATATTTTCTTGGCTTTAAATTGCTGGAGACAGTTCACAGAAAGAATTTTGATACTCACTTTCTTCCCCACTATCAGCATCATGTTGGACTGGAAATGATAAAGCAAAAATAGAAAGGGGAAAAAACTGATAAAATGAAGCTTCCAAAACTTTTTTAAAAATAGAATAATGAAAAATAGTAACATATAATTTAAATGAAGTTCCCTTTCAATGTGTATAAAAAAAAATATTTTTTTTTAAATTTAAAAAAAGCACAACTAAAATTATTCATAAACTCAAATCTGATTTTAAAATTTTCCATATAGAATTTATTTCCTAAAATATATGTATCACTGAATGAGAAGTTAGCAATTATTTTATTGTTTTTTTTTTACATTGTACACAGAAGCTTTATTTTATGTTTAAAAAATTTAAAGCAATTATAATTAATCTTCATTAAAACACAATTTTTAGTATTTTTTAGGATATAATGTAAATTGCTTATTTAAGATTAAATAAATTATGTAAACTTTGATAATTGATGGATTTAGGGGAAAATAGCAAAGATGCATACAGTTTTGATACAAAGAACACCTTGCCATCTTTAGTTGTTTCATAAAAAAATATAATGCAAAATCAAATGTCTTTAATGCCATAGCAATTTCAAACATTAGTTAATACAATTTTAAAAATGTACCCTTTTTTATATAAATATTTCTTCTTCTTATATTTGAGGTGCCCACGATCAATTTGTTGATCATTCTGGCTCCTGGTTTTAAATTCAGAGTTTGCCTTCTCTTAGACAGGTTGCCGTCCAAGGCTAACGAGTCCCATCCACCCGGGTTGCTTGGGATGGCTTTAGTGGGGATTGAACTCCAGACCACCAGCTATTTCATTAGAGACAGTTTAGACCGCTCGGCCACCCAGCTATTTATATAGCTAATGATTTCATTGACAGATGCATTACTAACTGCCCTGTCTAAACTCTATAATCATAAATATTGTGAAACAAAAGTAATATAATTTTAGACAGGTTTTTCCTATTTGGCTACATATAAAATTAAAAGAGATTATTTTTATCCAAGAGTAAACCTCATTGTTTTTAGTATTCAATTTTTAAGATTACTTATTACAGTTACAAATTTGATTGAAGCAAATAATGCAGTAATATTTAACAACACTACAGGCTCAAGAATTTAAAGTTTAATATTTTAATGACTATGAAAAATGTAATGTAAATGTAGTGAATATTTTCTATAGTCTAATTCAGCATTTCCCCCAAAAATAAGGTCATGGCCAGGTTATTTTAACCATTATGCTTCATAACTCACTCACATTTTGGTCATTTACCCTGACATATAAATAACACAAAACATATTTTTTTAATGTTGTAATAGAGAACCAAATACTCTTTAAAAAGAATATTGATTAATTAAATTAAACCTGGTGAATAATAGTTTTAAGAGAAAATTGATGCTTTTCTAGTTAGCTCTCTTGATTTTTGAAGTTAAACTGGATAGGTGGACTGGGTAAGAGGTTAAAACAAAGCCCAGACTAAAACCCAAGAAGAAAAACCTTAAGATAACACATATGATACCTTTTTGAAAAATAAATTCCTCCCTTGTTTGGTGACCTAGAAGCCTATTTTGCTATCATCAACTGGTACTGGATCACAACTTATTTTTGTGTACCTTGATAACGGTTCTAAATAAACTATTTTTTTAAAATGCTATTTCTTTAAAAAGGGGTCAACATTAATAAATTGAATTTAATATATCTTTCATCACACGATCTTATTACCATGTATAAAAAGACAAATTAACAATACTATAATTATGATTTTCACTGTGGCATTTATTTAAAAATGTTATATCATTCAATGTAAGTTATGATTTTATGGTGTTAAATTACTTACATTTGACTATTTTTGTATTGTAATCGTTATAAATCTTTTCACTTATGCCAAACTTAGATAAGTCATTGGTTTTCATGGGAAATGTAGATGCTCTCCCACTTGATTCCACAAAAAACTCCATTATTTCAGATAAACTTTTCATTGGCTGATGCTGGAGAGATTTGAAGATAATCAATTAATTTACAAATTCAATATAAACATATCAATAAGATTTTGATTCAAAATAGTTCAACATAAAATATGATCTCACTAATTAAAAAATATAGTTTATTTAGGATTTCTTTCAGTCTTATTTCCTCACTTAGTTAATGCATTTTATATTTTTCTTTATAAAATTAAATGATTATTTCAAAAGCACTGTCTAATCTTGTTACTCTCAAAGACACTGTTTTTTTTTTGTTTTTTTTTGTTTGTTTTTTAATTATGAAATAATTTTTTTATAAGAATAGTTTTTTTACTAAATTAATATCAACTCACCGGGTTTTCCACATCAATTTTGTATCCTGAACTATGTAGTGTCACCACAAAGTGTGCATAAGTTCTTTTTCTGTATAAAAATAAAGAATAACTCACATTTTAAAAACTTTTCTGCTAATACAGCAAAAATTGCAAATGAACTTCTGTTTTCAAAAAAAAGAGGTGTAAATATTTTTTCTTTCATCACAATTTTTTTCATTTATATTATTGTGGAACGAGATGTTAAACATTATAAGAATAAGAAGTTATTTACCCTAAGTTTTCCATTCTTTTGGAGATGACCAAATTCTTAAAATCATTAGTGCCTTCTCTCATTAACGTGTTGCCATATTTACTTCCAAAAACATTGTCCAGAATAAGAATAGCTTGGTCACGTGAGCAGTTAGAGAAAAACCAACTGAAATTATGATATATAGATTAGTGGGTGTTGATATAAATGAATATTTCTTATATAACAACAACAATGCTACTCTATCTGTTAAAAATAAGGATGGACTAAATCTCAATCCAGGGCTGCCAATTCAATCAAATTAAATTTACTAAAAAATATTTTTATATTTCATCTTCTAAATTTGTTATGGGGGAAATTTTGTAGCTGGACAAATTTTACTAAATTAATTTTTTAATAGGCCTACTTTGGAGGTAAAAACAATTAAACTATTCACGGCCTCTCAAGTAAATAAATATGTTATTATGTCATAGAATACAAATTCTAGTTTATCGTGTGGCAATGTTTAAGTTCTCCAGCTCATGATTACACATGCTTAAAGTAATTTTAAAAATTTCAAATTCTGAGAATTCCAGTTTCCTTTCACTTCAAATGCCTTAAAGTCAATTTCTAATTTTTTAAAGGCCATCATTCACGTATTGCAGATGTTTATGGACAAGTATATTTTATTTCAAATTTGTATGGAATGTCTTTAAATTTATAGACAGTTGGCAAATTTTTCCACAACACAGGAAAAACATGTTCACATGTTCATTTTATTACTGATCTTACATACTGGGAAAATGTCACAATGAAAAATAAGGAACAGTTTTCATAGTTGAATGACTCAATCTTAATTTAAAGTAAAATAATAAATTACAATACCTGGGAATATCTGTCCTTGCTGGATCAGAAAAAAATATCTTCCTCTGAATAAAGAAAACAAAATGTATCAATGGAAATTAATATTCTTACTTATTAAAGTCATAAACAGTTTTTGTTTAATAATTACTAATACAGATCAATAATGAAAAAGTGTAGGGATCCAGGAGAAATAGCAATTTTGATAAGAGTCTTTAGTAAATTAAGAAGTTTTTGCCTAAAAAAGAAGTTTTGAAAAGTAAAAAAACCTCCAAATAATTACCTGTGATGTTTTTACATTATAGCTAAATGTGGGACTGACAGGTTCAAGATAATCTCCCTTATCATTATTATCTGATTCAAAGTCTACAAATGAACCAGAAGTTGATGTATTTGGCGTGTCAAAACAATCCTTTGGGGTGAAAGACGAAGTGCCTGGGTGGGCAGAGTTTGGTCTTGGATACGACAGTTGATGGTTGTAAAACTCATTGAGAGTTATTTGAATATCATTGATTTGTCCAGGAAGAAGATCAATACTTTCTGGTACACGACCCTGGTGAATAAATACAAAATAAAAATAAGATTTCAATCACTGAAAACTATGAGGTTCTTTTTTTAAAAATCATTTTCTTATAATTTCATTGAAACTTCTACAAACATTTTAAAACTTTACACAATTTTTTTTTTAAGTCTTTAAAATATGCTACACAACTGAATTGAAAAGTGTTCATCTACTAAGTAAACATTTGAGGTCTTTATCAGTATTCAGGCTTTTTATTTCATTTAAATAACAGTTTATGGTTTGCTTACATTTTTAGTGTGTTGTCCTTAAACTGAAGCAAACACTAATTTTTTTTTTTCTGAGACATTCATTCATACAGTGTACAGGTACAAAACTTTAATGTTACTTTCAGTTTACTTACTGTTGCTATGCCTTCAACATAAGCTTTCCACAGCTCCCTCTCGCTGAACTTAGCTGCCTGCATGAGGTGTACAACAGCACGTATCATATTAAAAAACACAAATTTAAGGTATCTAAATGTTTAAATATTCTGATTCAGATTTTGTCAGTTTGTATTTCAGACAATCAAAAATTCTTAAGAAGCCCCTTTTTCAAAACCATTGCCACCACTAAGACCACTCCATTTTCATTTTCTCCAAAATAAATGTCCTCAATTTACCTTAAAAGTGTTTACTCGTTTTAAAGAAAATAAATCAAATTTATAGCCACTTCTTTCGTCTCCTTCTTTCTTTTCAATTCTCGACTGCGGCCCGAGGGCGACTGTTCCAACATGCTGAAATCAGAATAAAATAATAACAAGGTTATATATCCAAAACGAGCTCAACAAAATTGAATGAACAAAGGGGCATAATCCTTCATGATACTTGAACTGGTGCTTGTTCTGAGTGTCAAAGGGGAAATTACTAACTATATTTACATCTGTGAATTTGTGGAAGTGTTAAGTGGTTTCCTTTGATAAAATTGAATAACTTGTACTTCTATCAGGGGGGAAAAACATTTTCAGCCTCGATAAGAGCGGGCCATTGTTCCCCAGGAAGAGCTGTGAGCACGGTTTGAGCTATACTGGAAACCTCAAAGCCGAGTTACCGGTCCTTTCAAAGGGGAGTAAACATAGGCTGGTCAAATGCTTGAGTTACCTCCTTTCAAAGGGGAATAAACATAGGCTCGTCGAGTGTTAGAGTTACCTCCCTTCAAAGGGGAATAAACATACGCTCGTCGAATGTTAGAGCCTTGAATGAAACAGGAAAATGAGTTCAAGTGGTGACAGGAATCAGACCTTAAAAACTCACACTGCTCGACATCCGTGAAACAAAATGTACATAAGTTGTGCATAAGCTGCACACAAGCTGTACACAAGCTGTACATAAGCTGCACACAAGTTGTACATAAGCTGTACACAAGCTGGACTGTTAACACTAGCCTCAGTAGAAACAAATAACATACGCAGGCCATATATTACTATATATAATATAATCTGAAGCATATGGCCCTAGAATTATTACAGCAACATTCTGAACCGAAGAAAATATTAAGTATAATACTTATGCACCCATCAACAATGGTTAGGAAGATGAAAAAGAAGTTTTCCTGAAGGGGAAAATGAGAAAATATGAAGAAATTGTGGGGAGCCATGGTTTAGGAGTGGGAAATTAAAACGCCGAAAGACTTCTGCATCGCAAATGAGATTGTTATTGAGGGCAGCGTAGTCCGGCTTAACTAGTCAGGATCATTCAGGGTACTTTTGAAGAAATTACCTTGTGGATTTTCGTATACACGCAGGGTGGTACACGAAGGTAAGCTCACGGATGACATTAAAGTGGAAATGGGAGTCAGACAAGGATGTCTCGTGTCCCCATTTCTATTCATCCTTGCCGCTTACTAGATATTGAAAAAATCATCTGATAAAAAGAGGAACAGGATACATCATGGGAACTATTGAATGACCTTGACTTTTCAAATAACATTGCACGTTTGTCCTACAACAAATGTAGGAGAAGACAAAATATGTAGCCCTATTTCATCACAGCTCGAACTCCATACGAATAAAAGCAACCCAAAGATCATGAAGATAAACACAAGTGACCAAGAAAATATCTCACTGACAGGAAATTCACTGGAGGAAGTGAAGGCCTTGACCTAATGCTGGGTGTTAAGTGTATGAGAATCCGAAGGTGGTGTTAGGTCTTGAATTATAAAGGCCAGGTCAGCATCTGTGCTAGTAAATAAAATATTGGATTCAAAGTAGCTGACTCTTCAAACTTAAGTCAGCATTTTCAACACAAATGTCAAAACAGGCCTATTCTATGGGGCTGAAACTTGGAGAACAACAGCGAGCATCACACAGAAAGTACAGACCTTCATAAACACTTGCCTTAGAAAGATACTTAACATACAAATGGCCAAGCATGATCCCCAACAAAGACTTAAGGACATGACAAACCAAGAACATATTGCTAAAGACATCATAAGGAAAAGATGGAGGTGGGTGGGGCACATTCTTCCTAAACCGCAAGAGGGCATCACCAGAGAAGCCCAAACATGGAATTCACAAGAGAAAATGAAGAGAGAAAACCCAAAGAATGCACGGAGAGGCGAGCTAGAGGCAGACATACAAAGAATACATGGAGAGGCGAGCTAGAGGCAGACATACAAAGAATACATGGAGAGGCGAGCTAGAGGCAGACATACAAAGAATACATGGAGAGGCGAGCTAGAGGCAGACATACAAAGAATGGCATACACTTGGAAGCAATAGAAAAGGAAAGCACCAGAAGGAGTTGAATGGAAAATTCTTGCAGACGGCCTATATGTCCCAGGCGGTGCGAAAGGTGTAAGTAGTAAGTCTTTAATTTAAGAAGACAAACATGCCTGGGATTAGCTCTTACTTAAACTGTAAATCCCGTACTTAAGTTAAGCTTTGTTCATTGCTAATCCAGTACTTAGGTAAAGCCTTGTTTACAGATAAGGTACACTTTGCTTTCACGTTGAAACTGGGTTTAGCTTTGACTGATAGTTTAACTGTTTAACGCCTTGTCATTCCGAGACACATTTTATCATGGCTTGCAACTTGAAATTAAATAATTTAAATTTTCATCAGCATTGCTTCTGGGTTAAAGTGTCCACATGTGTTATTGCATATTCCCAGCAACTATGTATAAATAGCTAATCTTTCTTTTGTCAAGAATTTAAGACTTATGATGATTATGACAAAATGTCATTATGGGTTTTGAAAGCAACGAAATCCACAATTTTTCTGTTGGGTATTCATTAATGTCAAATTACTTTTTCAATAAGATTTATTCTTCCCGTAGGGACCGGGCTCTCTCGAGCATTGAAGATCCAGTCGTGTATATGTCAGTCTTGATGTCCATACATTGTAGATCCATTTAATGCGGTCTGTGTCAGTCTTGATGTCCATACACTGTAGGTCCATTTAATGCTGTCTGTGCCAGTCTTGATGTCCATACACTGTAGTTCAATTTAATGCGGTCTGTGCTAGTCATGTATGAAGGATAAAAAGCCATAGCTTGGGGTAGGGGGAGATGGGTCTGGATGGGGAGGGTGGAGCAAGCTTGGATAAGGGGTGGAGTTAAAAAGTTAAGCCTATTTACAAGACATTGGGGCTTAGGGGCTGGGGTGACTTCAGGCATCTGCTGTCACTGAGCCGTGACTTGAACGACTCGAAGGAGGAGGGGGTAGCAAGGGGGAGATTGTTCCACTCAGAGATTGTCCAAGGGAAGAGTGAATGGAACAGGGCAGGATGTAAATCTGTTCCTTTTGTTCTTTCGTCCGAAGGTTTGAAGAAGTCAGCCCTGTTGATCTCAGTCATGCTGTTAGTGATTGTGTATAATATCCCTAGTCTGTTGATTCTCCTCCTTTCTGCCAGGCTGGCTCATTCTAACGTGTTGACCTCCTTTCTACCAGGCTGGCTCATTCTAACGTGTTGACCTCCTTTCTGCCAGGCTGGCTCACTCTAACGTGTTGACCTCCTTTCTGCCAGGCTGGCTCATTCTAACGTGTTGACCTCCTTTCTGCCAGGCTGGCTCACTCTAACGTGTTGACCTCCTTTCTGCCAGGCTGGCTCATTCTAACGTGTTGACCTCCTTTCTGCCAGGCTGGCTCATTCTAACGTGTTGACCTCCTTTCTGCCAGGCTGGCTCATTCTAACGTGTTGACCTCCTTTCTGCCAGGTTGGCTCACTCTAACGTGTTGACCTCCTTTCTGCCAGGTTGGCTCACTCTAACGTGTTGACCTCCTTTCTGCCAGGTTGGTTCACTCTAACGTGTTGACCTCCTTTCTGCCAGGTTGGCTCACTCTAACGTGTTGACCTTCTTGCTGCCAGGTTGGCTCACTCTAACGTGTTGAGCATGCGTTTGATTTATACACGCATTATATTACAGCGGCAATTAAGTTAAAATAAACGATACGTGGGAATGTCAATCAGTAATATGTATGCCTTTAGTTGGTAATCAGGGTGACCAATTAACTGGACTGGTGACCCAGTTTCCTCGCCCTTGATCACCTTTACTCCACCGCTATCTTCCCCACTCACACGCTTAGTTTACCGCCCCTGATGAGCTTACCGCCCCTGATGAGCTTACCACCCCTGATGAGCTTACCGCCCCTGATCAACTGTCCTCCACCGCTACCAACCCCCCCCCCCCCCCCCCCCAACACCCCCCCAACCGAAACAACACCCCCCCCTCCCGAACGACCAGGCCCAGCTTACCGCCTCCTTGGATGTTTTGTTGGAAGTGAACAGAAAGATGACGTCTTTTTTTAGCACACACCAGTAGCGCCCCCAGTGGCCATCCTGTCAGAAGAGAAATTAGAAACATCATGGTGTCATATGATGTACGTGGTATGATGTTACAAAAAGGTGATATGATGTTACACAGTTATATGATGTTACACAATGGTGATATGATGTTACACAGTGATATGATGTTACACAGTGATATGATGTTACAGAATGAGATATGATGTTACACAAGTCAATATGTTACAGAATTTGAGATGATGTTCCACAATGAGATATGATGTTACACAATGGTGATAGGATGTTATACGATTTGATTAGGATGTTACACAATGTGATAGGATGTTACACAATGGAAAATGATGAAGATGATATTTTGTTACAAAATGTTGCTGATTTTCTTTAACAGTTTCAGGTTATTATAAAACTCATTTACATTTAACAACAAAGGAAAAGTTGAAAGTGGGCACCCTAAGGTGTAGGGATTATTGAGACCCTAATGTGGAGGAAGTAGTGCGACCCTAAGGTGTAGGGATTAGTGAGACCCTAAGGTGGAGGAAGTAGTGCGACCCTAAGGTGTAGGGATTAGTGAGACCCTAAGGTGGAGGAAGTAGTGCGACCCTAAGGTGGATGGCATACTGCGACCACGCCAAGATAATTTAAAATATTTATTCAAGGAGAAGGGGGTTGTCAATCCAGAGATTTGTTTTAGGTAAAGGGGGGGGGGCGTTGAACCGAACACACTGAACACGAACCTGACGACCAAACCTGAACCCTGCTGACGACCAAACCCTAAATCTACTGACGACGGAACCCGAACTTTAAAGTCACTGAGTACGAACCATGACGAACTTATTAGAACCGACGAATGTTTGAAGAATATGGCACGTCACTACTAGAGCCAGAAAGGCTTATTTGTTCATTAAAACTCGTCAAGTGTTTAGATACAGTGAAAGAAAGGGTTCGTCAGGCAATTGGGGAGTGCGATGACCTACTGGTGACTGTGAAAAAACGCAAATTACAATGGTACGGCCACGTAACAAGGAAACAAGGGCTTGCCAAAGAAATATTGCAGGGCATCACAAGAGGAGGGAGAAGAAGAGGAAGACAAAGAAAAAGGTGGGAGGATAACATCAAAGAGTGGACAGGACTAACACTGGGCGATGCAGTGCGTAGTGCTGAAGACAGAGAGGAATGGAGGAGGGTGGTTCACATGTCATTTGTGGCGTCCCAACGGTCCAAGGACTAAGGGACATGAGGAGGATGGTTCACATGTCATCTGTGGCGCCCCAACGGTCCAAGGACTAAGGGACATGAGGAGGATGGTTCACATGTCATCTGTGGCGCCCCAACGGTTCCCAACGGTCCAAGGACTAAGGGACATGAGGAGGATGGTTCACATGTCATCTGTGGCGCCCCAACGGTCCAAGGACTAAGGGACATGAGGAGGATGGTTCACATGTCATCTGTGGCGCCCCAACGGTCCAAGGACTAAGGGACATGAGGAGGATGGTTCACATGTCATCTGTGGCGCCCCAACGGTCCAAGGACTAAGGGACATGAGGATGAGGAAGTGTTTAGATGTTGTTTTTCTACAGGGTGGATACATCCAACGTTTGCTTCACAGACATATTGTTTTTGTGTTATCCATATCGTTGTTGAGTTATCCATATCGTTGTTGAGTTATCCATATCGTTGTTGAGTTATCCATATCGTTGTTGATTTATCCATATTGTTGTTGAGTTATCCATATTGTTTTTGAGTAATCATATTATTGTTGAGATATCCATATTGCTGTTAAGTTATGCCTATTACTGTTGAGTTATCCATATTACTAGAGATAAGCCGTGTAAAATGAAGAAACTAGTTGCAAGTGACCAACCTCTCAACGAACCTTAACATGGCCGTTCTTTCATTAATAAACATGAACAAATTAACATCGATATAACATCTATACAACATCTATATAACATCTATATAACATCTATATAACATCTATATAACATCTATATAACATCTATATAACATCTATATAACATTATATAACATCTATATAACATCTATATAACATCTATATAACATTATATAACATCGATATAACATCTATATAACATCGATATAACATCGATATAACATCTATATAACATCTATATAACATCTATATAACATCTATATAACATCGATGTCAATCAACTTTTTGAAATAGATAAAAATGGTTTATTTTGTATTTTTAATTAACTCAATTTTATCTTGGTATTTCTGGAATCATTTTCTTTGAAATTCCGGGATGAAGAAAATGTCCCTCCCTTTGTCCCGGGATGAAGAAAATGTCCTTCCATTTGTCCCGGGATAAGTAAAACTCCGGGAACTGAGAAACCCTAGACACAAGTTGGTCGAATACTTCAACTAGAGATTAGCTTGAATGAACAAGTCAAGAATTGGTTTTTAAAGCAGTCTTGGTGTCTGGACCATGTCGTGGCACGGTAACTTGACATCAAGTCACACTATTGCTGGAATGTACAGAGGTATGCGTAAACTATGGAGAAATATGAGCGCTGCAAAATAATCCTTATCAGAGAATGCAGCACTTTTTTTTAAATTAATTTTTTTGCAATAATTTTTTTTTTTTTTTACATGTTAAATTAAAAGGTGGTCCTGATAAATTTATCAAAGTTATCTTTTCCTCTTTTTTAGTAAATCAAACACAAGTTATTTACAATGGAGTATTCATAAACAGTGAGGGTCAAGGTCGATAACCTTTTCATAAACAGTGATGGTCAAGGTCGATAACTTTTCATAAACTAGAGAACGTATGACAGGCAACATTGCTTCTTTTTTTTTCTTTTTTTTTTAAATCTGCCAGGATTTCTTCTGGTCGAGGAACCAGGATGTCACTTCATTCTGAGACTTTTGAAGCGTGCTCCCAAGGCTAGTTTAAACAGAAAAACTAGTCACAAGGCTAGTGTAAACAGAAAAACTAGTCACAATAAACAGAACTATTAAAGAGTCACAATGCTAGTGTAAACAGAACTATTAAAGAGTCACAATGCTACTGTAAACAGAACAATTTACGTTTAAAAATATTAGTGTGAACAGAAAAATCTTGGGGTGGGGGTGCGTTGGTGGGGTGTGGGGTGCGTTGGGGGTGCGTTGGTGGGGTGTGGGGNCACCAGTTAATACAACATGACATCCGTGTTAATACAACATTTCACCAGTTAATGCATTATTTCACCAGTTAATACAATATTTCACCAGTTAATACAACATGACATCCGTGTTAATACAACATTTCACCAGTTAATGCATTATTTCACCAGTTAATACAATATTTCACCAGTTAATACAACATGACATCCGTGTTAATACAACATTTCACCAGTTAATGCATTATTTCACCAGTTAATACAATATTTCACCAGTTAATACAACATGACATCCGTGTTAATACAACATTTCACCAGTTAATGCATTATTTCACCAGTTAATACAATATTTCACCAGTTAATACAACATGACATCCGTGTTAATACAACATTTCACCAGTTAATGCATTATTTCACCAGTTAATACAATATTTCACCAGTTAATACAACATGACATCCGTGTTAATACAACATTTCACCAGTTAATGCATTATTTCACCAGTTAATACAATATTTCACCAGTTAATACAACATGACATCCGTGTTAATACAACATTTCACCAGTTAATGCATTATTTCACTAGTTAATGCAACATTTCACCAGTTAATGCATTATTTCACCAGTTAATACAACATTTCACCAGTTAATGCATTATTTCACCAGTTAATACAATATTTCACCAGTTAATACAACATGACATCCGTGTTAATACAACATTTCACCAGTTAATGCATTATTTCACCAGTTAATACAACATTTCACCAGTTAATACAACATAACATTCGTGTTAATTCAACATTTCACCAGTTAATGCATTATTTCACTAGTTAATGCAACATTTCACCAGTTAATGCATTATTTCACCAGTTAATACAACATTTCACCAGTTAATACAACATAACATTCGTGTTAATTCAACATTTCACCAGTTAATGCATTATTTCACCATTTAATGCAACATTTCACCAGTAAAGGCAACTCATTGAAACGATGTACGCAAAATGCATGAGTTTAATTTTTCTTAAGTCTTGGAAATCGGCAATATGAAGATATGAACGACTTTGATATGTCAGACTTTGAATGCCATACTTTGATATGCCAGACTTTGATATGGTAGACTGATATACCAGACTTTGATATGCCATACTTTCATATGCCAGAATTTGATTTGACAGACTTTAATATGCCAGACTTTGACATGCTAGACTTTGATATGCCAGACTTTGCCGGATTAAAATACCGGCGACGGAGATTAAGTTGTGCATCAGATTTCAGCTGCTCGGATGATTGGATTGTCGAAACTAGAAAAATGTTTTCTCGAAGATAACTCAAGCAGCATCGCTTATTGCAAGGGAAACGGCATTTAAATATTGATTTTACAACCAAAAATAACAGTTTTATTGACACGTGACTGAAGTCTACTTTGGAAATTGTTCCTCTATTTATATCAGGCTTGTTTATATCAGGCTTGTTTATATCAGGCTTGTTTATATCAGGCTTGTTTATATCAGGCTTGTTTATATCAGGTGGAAATTTCCTCTGAACAAACCTCTTCGGGATTTGTTTTCTTCTGGGACTGAGAAGTCCGCCAATGTTGACCACAGTATAGTCCCCCTGTTTAACACAGTACAGTCCCCCTGTTTACCACAGTACAGTCCCCCTGTTTACCACAGTACAGTCCCCCTGTTTACCACAGTACAGTCCCCCTGTTTACCACAGTACAGGCCCCCTGTTTACCACAGTACAGTCCCCCTGTTTACCACAGTACAGTCCACCCCTGTTTACCACAGTACAGTCCCCCCCTGTTTACCACAGTACAGTCCCCCTGTTTACCACAGTTCAGTCCCCCTGTTTACCACAGTACAGTCCACCCCTGTTTACCACAGTACAGTCCCCCTGTTTACCACAGTACAGTCCCCCTGTTTACCACAGTACAGTCCCCCTGTTTACCACAGTACAATCCACCCCTGTTCACCACAGTACAGTCCCCCTGTTCACCACAGTACAGTCCCCTTGTTTACCAGATTACAGTCCCCCTGTTTACCACAGTACAGTCCCCCCTGTTTACCACAGTACAGTCCCCCTGTTTACCACAGTACAGTCCACCCCTGTTTACCGCAGTTGCCATTTGCCTTTTAGCAGCCAAAATATTGTATTTGTATTGTATAATAGTATCACATGTGGCTCAGCTTGAATAGATAGCTTATGTGTGTCCAAATTCCTTCCTGGTCTATCCACACTTTTCATTCTCGTGGGTACCTGAGCCTAAGCCAGGCTGTAGAAATCTTTAAGATATGGATTGGATCAACTCGGGTTATGGAAACGGTCCTGTTCGTCTGTTTACTTCCTTGATCTATTCAGGACCGTCGCTGGGACTTATGAAACAAAAGTGTATGTGTGGTGTGTGTATGTGTGGTGTGTGTATGTGTGGTGTGTGTGTGTGTGGGGGGATTAGATGGATGTTTACTTTGACGTAGATGAAGGGTACATTTGTTTATTTACTTTTCATAATTCCATTGTTGTCTCCGGGGTGTTTAATGAACACGGTGTTTAATGAACACGGTAGAAAGTTGTGTTTTTTTTTAAACAGCTAATTTCTGTTCGTTCACTTTTTTTTTTTTTGCCAACAGAGAGAATAGATCTGTTTTGTGGAAATGATTGATTTGGATACAGATAGATGGCATGAAAATATGACGCTTAGGTTGAAGTAAAGATGTGCGTCAGAAAAAATATAAAAGGGGGGGGGGGGTGAGGGGTGTGAACAGTTGTGTAAATGAGGGGATGTAGATATGGGTGGTAGTGGCGTTGTGTGGCAACGTGGTTGTGTTGCAGTGGAAAGTGTGGCAGTGGGGTTTGTTGTAGTGGGGGTTGTGTTGCAGCGGAAATGTGAAGCAGGGAGATGGATGAATTGATTCAGGTTCTCATTCGTGGCAAATATAAGATTGGGGACTTTTAGTTTTAGACCAGCTTCAGAGATGGCCGGTAGTTTATAAAATAAAATTAATTATTTGTCCGCTTCACAGACTGTTGCGTCCCTCCTTTCATAGGGCGCCCAAAACATGTGTCGTTCATTGCTACACCCCTCACTACGCGTCTGGATTTACGATCCGTTAATCTAATCAGAATTGAAATTGAGGAGAATATAAAAAAAAATTATTTTTTGATTACTGTGTAACACAACAAGGAGTGGGAACAACAAACACGACAAGGAGTGGGAACAAGGGACACAACAAGCAGTGGGAACAAGGGACACAACAAGGAGTGGGAACAACAAACACAACAAGGATTGGGAACAAGTGTCACAACAAGGAGTGTGAACAAGGGAAACAAGGAGTGGGAACAAGGGACACAACAAGCAGTGGGAACAAGGGACACAACAAGGAGTGGGAACAAGGGACACAACAAGGAGTGGGAACAAGGGACACAACAAGGAGTGGGAACAAGGGACACAACAAGGAGTGGGAACAAGGGACACAACAAGGAGTGGGAACAAGGGACACAACAAGGAGTGGGAACAAGGGACACAACAAGGAGTGGGAACAAGGGACACAACAAGGAGTGGGAACAAGGGACACAACAAGGAGTGGGAACAAGGGACACAACAAGGAGTGGGAACAAGGGACACAACAAGGAGTGGGAACAAGGGACACAACAAGGAGTGGGAACAAGGGACACAACAAGGAGTGGGAACAAGGGACACAACAAGGAGTGGGAACAAGGGACACAACAAGGAGTGGGAACAAGGGACACAACAAGGAGTGGGAACAAGGGACACAACAAGGAGTGGGAACAAGGGACACAACAAGGAGTGGGAACAAGGGACACAACAAGGAGTGGGAACAAGGGACACAACAAGGAGTGGGAACAAGGGACACAACAAGGAGTGGGAACAAGGGACACAACAAGGAGTGGGAACAAGGGACACAACAAGGAGTGGGAACAAGGGACACAACAAGGAGTGGGAACAACAAACACAACAAGGATTGGGAACAAGTGTCGCAACAAGGAGTGGGAACAAGGGACACAACAAGGAGTGGGAACAACAAACAAAACAAAGATTGGGAACAAGGGACACAACAAGGAGTGGGAAAAGGGGCCACAAAAAGGAGTGGGAACAAGGGACACAACAAGGAGAGAGAACAAGGGACGCAACAAGGAGTGGGAAAAGGGACAAGACAAGGAGTGGGAACAAGGGCCAAGATAAGGAGTGGGAACAAGGGACACAACAAGGAGAGAGAACAAGGGACACAACAAGGAGTGGGAACAAGGGACACAACAAGGCGTGGAAACAAGGGACACAACAAGGAGTGAGAACAAGGGACACAACAAGGAGTGAGAACAAGGGACACAACAAGGAATGGGAACAAGGGACACAACAAAAAGTGGGAACAAGGGACACAGCAAGGAGTGGAAACAAGGGACAAAGGGACACAAGGAGTGGGAACAAGGGATACAACAAGGTGTGGGAACGAGGGACACAACAAGGAGTGAGAACAAGGGACACAACAAGGAGTGGGAACAAGGGATACAACAAGGAGTTGGAACAAGGGACACAACAAGGAATGGGAACAAGGGACACAACAAGGAGTGGGAACAACAAACACGACAAGGAGTGGGAACAAGGGACACAAAAAGGAGTGGAAACAAGAAACACAACAAGGAGTGGGAACGAGGGACACAACAAGGAGTGAGAACAAGGGACACAACAAGGAGTGGGAACAAGGGACACAACAAGGAGTGGGAAAAAAAGGGACACAACAAGGAGTGGGAACAAGGGACACAACAAGGAGTGGGAACAAAAGGAAATAACAGAAGCGGGAACAAGAGACACAACAAGGAGTGGGACAGAACAAAGAGTGGATCAAGGGACATAACAAGGCGTTGAAACGGATCACGCATTACGGGACATAATTGGCAAGTAAAGTTATCAGCCAACCCTAATAATTATCTCACCCTGTTGACCAGACAGCCCACATGACAGTGACCTCACCTGAGACCTGTGATCAAGCCATCCCTCGTGAAACTTGAACGTCTGTGTTGGCGCCAAGTTGACATAGTTGGCAGTCATTGTCTATTGGTCAAATATGTGTTCCCTTGAATGGACGAGTGCTATCCACACTAGAGTTTGTTGAGTATCACGAGCTATCCACACTAGAGTTTGTTGAGTATCACGAGCTATCCACACTAGAGTTTGTTGAGTATCACGAGCTATCCACATTAGAGTTTGTTCAGTATCACAGCTCACCGTACTGTACTTGAGAAACGTGTTCTGTGTAGAAATCACAAGAAATATCTTGGACGCCTTATACACGATCTTGGGGTCAGTCAACTGCAACTGGAGGCTATAATATGTTCAAACTGAGAATTCACTGCAGTATATGTTCACATTGAGAGAGCACTGCATCATAAGTTGACATTCAGAGTGCACTGCATATGTTGAGTGATCTGACACAATGTAAGAACTTTTTTGATTTTTTAAATAACTCTTCGTTTACATGAAGAAAAAAGTTATCAATCTCTCCTGTTGGTATATCAACACGTCTAAAATCTATGGCAAGAATTTTTATTTGTTATTGGTAATGTTAACATAAAGAGCAAATGTGGAGTTCTTGAATGTATCGAATAACATTATCTGCCCCCCCTCCCCCCAAGTCATGCAATTGTTAACTTGAATAAAACCCGAACAGTGAAACAATTAATTGATGTGACTACAGACAGGCGTTCTAGTAACCTACTTACACATATGTTGGACCCGCCCGGGGGGACAATTACTCACACCTAAAGTCTCCCTAGCACAAGGGCGACTACTCAAAACTATGTTTGACCTATTCCAGGAGTGACAACATCTTGAGTGTGGGACAATTTTTATAAATTGATCAACTAATCAAACATTTTGGGAGCCGCACACAGAGGCATTTTGTTAGAATGTCACAAGAGATAGGTGGTGAAACAAACAAATAATCCCATCTATTCCTTCAAAGATCCATACATGCAGCTTCGTAGCCGCGGGCTGCCGACCAGTAGCATATAGATTACAACCCCATGTAAGCCATATAACGTTATGGGCTCAAATTCGGCTGTCACGTGATAAACACACAGTAGAGATAACTCTCTAAGCTCACAACGAAACTGTCAGTGTCATGACAAAACAACACAGTTGTGTCACGATGAACATACTACGTGTGTACACGTTACTCAAGACAAAGTCAACTCCAAGCCAATATTATCCGCCCTTTTATAACATGTTGGATTTATTGTTTAACAACGATGACTTGTTATAGTGACTGAGAGATTTACTGATGTTTACAGGTCATATTAATGGATGTCAACCTGTCTTTAGTGGATCTTCTAATTCTATCTAAACATGTTTATTGATGCAGATCTGAACAATTAATAAGTGCAGATCCGTTCTTAGGCATACGCTGACTACGCCCCGAACGTGAGGGGGCCCCGAACGTGAGGGGGCCCCCGTGAGGCGCCCTCGAACACCCGGTCTTTTTTTGTTTTTTTTAACGGTCACTGCAGCCGTCTGTGTCACTCACGTTACCTTCCTCATAGTGAAATTTATCATTCTGAGTTGAATTCGGAGGCAGGGGAAGGGAAGCAGCAAGGGGGGGGGGAGCTTTGGGGGCGGCAGACAGGAAATCGGGGGCTTGGCCGTGGGAATGGGAAAGAGAAAACATTGATGAAGGCAGAATGGAGGTGCCGCAGTGGTGGGTGGTGTTTTCTCCTCAGCTCGAGGGAGCTCCACCCCCGGACCCCCTCCCTTCCGGGGCCCCCAACCTACGCTCCATGCTTAGGGCCCCCAAACTCCTTAGAACGGCTCTGATAAGTGGGTTCTCTATTTTAACATTGTCTCAAATTAGTTTCCATATCGCTGCTTAAAATGTCTCGGCTGTTGAGTTAGTCATCAAGACAGGCACACGCGCTATACAAGTCATCCAGTACTCAATCACCTATCAATAACTTGTACAAGTCATCCAGTACTCAATCACCTATCAAAAACTTGTACAAGTCATCCAGTACTCAATCACCTATCAATAACTTGTACAAGTCATCCAGTACTCAATCACCTATCAATAACTTGTACAAGTCATCGAGTACTCAATCACCTATCAATAACTTGTACAAGTCATCGAGTACTCAATCACCTATCAATAACTTGTATCACTATCTGGATCAAATTTATACGAATAAACACAGACAATTTCCTGTCATAGATCGTACTCCGAGAATGACTTTAATACCGCAAAAAATTACATCAATAACGTTGCCTACTGTAAAACACATTAATCATCTAAATAACACATTACCTACTGTAAAACACAGCAATGATCTAAATAACACATTACCTACTGTAAAACACATCAATAATGTAAATAACACATTACCTACTGTAAAAAAACAGCAATAGTCTAAAGAACACGTTGTCTACTGCACAATCTAACGTGGGGCGCTAATGCTGACATCGGAGACAAGATTGGCTCCCTTGGAGCAGCGCATCCACTTAAATATAATGTCGCCAACAGAACGTGGAATTTCCCGTCTCTATATTTACACCTACCATTATAGTCGTCTGCGGCCGATTGGCCCTACTTTTCTTATCACGCGCGCCGTCATAGATCCCTGTGGGTGACCGTGGATTGAGGAAGTTGAACGCAGAGTACTGGGACTTGGTGACAGTTCAAATATCACAGGAGCTAGTTCCGTTTGCGCATAGTCTTATTTTTGTACGAGTTGGCTTATTTCCTTGCATTTTTTTTTGGTCTCAGACATAAGTTGTCTGTTTTCTGTATTCTGTTTTCGAGTCGCTTTGTCATATAGGCCAGAGTTCCGCTACCGGTGTGCCGCGAGATGATGTCAGTTGTGCCACGAAATGATGTCAGTTGTGCCGCCAGATGGTGCCAGTTGTACCACGAGATGATGTCAGTTGTGCCGCGAGATGGTGTCAGTTTTGTCACGAGATGATCCAGTTGTGCCACGAGACGACACAGTTGTGCCACGAGATGATGTCAGTTGTACCGCAGAGATGATGTCATTTGTGCCACGAGATGATGTCAGTTGTATCGCAGAGATGATGCCAGTTGTGCCACGAGATGATGTCAGTTGTACCGCAGAGATGATTCAAGGACAGTGTTTCAAAGATAGTGATTCAAGGACAGGAGTTAAAAAGTTTTCAAACTGTTTAAATTTACAGAAAGATGTCCAACGTGGACAATCAATAATAAACAATATAGTGTAGTTTGATACTTTATAGTTTTACATGAGATTATGAATGTTAACTATATGAGATTATGTTACTATATGAGATTATGTTACTATATGAGATTATGTTAACTATATGGGATTATGTTAACTACAGAGGCGTAGCGTGTGGGGACAGGGGGGACAGATTCCGCGGGCGCCAGCTAGTTAGGGGCGCCAAAATGTGCTTTGATATTATTTTATTAATGAAAATAATGGGTTTGAGAGTTGAAAAAAAGAAAAAGGGGCGCTTTAAAATGGATCTTGTCCCCGGGCGCGAATCTTGTCCCCGGGCGCCAAACACCCACGCTACGCCACTGGTTAACTATATGAGATTATGTTAACTATATGAGATTATGTTAACTATATGAGATTATGTTAACTATATGAGATTATGTTAACTATATGAGATTATGTTAACTATATGAGATTATGTTAACTATATGAGATTATGTTAACTATACTCTCTTATTTAGTATAAAACGTCCGAACTGCTCCTGTTAATTTGACTGACGCACTCAGTACTACATTTTCCAACCCTCGTATGACTTGTGGCGTCCCGAGGAAGTCTTGGAAAGCTTTCGGAGCTCTCATTGAGTTGACCGTCGTTGCTCATACATACTAAACAGATGACGTTCCAGAGGGGCTCTCTTTACAGATCTCTTAGATTAGATTTTACTTCTGGTTCGTCTGCTTTCTCTTCAAAATCACCCCCCCCCTCTCCCAACCCACTTCACATGTTTTATATTAATGGGGGAAAAGGCTGTCATTGGTGACCTCTGAACTCCGGGGTTATTGATTTCTTTCTTTTGGGTGAGGCGACAATTTTTTTTTATTGTTCGTGTTCCACTGTCACTCAGCGAGCTTCATGCTTCATGCTTCATGTTTCATGCTTCATGCTTCATGCTTCATGTTTCATGTTTCATGTTTCATGTTTCATGCTTCATGCTTCATGCTTCATGTTTCATGTTTCATGCTTCATGCTTCATGCTTCATGCTTCATGTTTCATGTTTCATGCTTCATGCTTCATGCTTCATGTTTCATGTTTCATGTTTCATGTTTCATGTTTCATGTTTCATGTTTCATGTTTCATGCTTCATGCTTCATGTTTCATGCTTCATGTTTCATGTTTCATGCTTCATGTTTCATGCTTCATGCTTCATGTTTCATGTTTCATGTTTCATGCTTCATGCTTCATGTTTCATGTTTCATGTTTCATGTTTCATGTTTCATGTTTCATGCTTCATGCTTCATGTTTCATGTTTCATGTTTCATGTTTCATGCTTCATGCTTCATGTTTCATGTTTCATGTTTCATGCTTCATGCTTCATGCTTCATGTTTCATGTTTCATGTTTCATGTTTCATGCTTCATGCTTCATGCTTCATGTTTCATGTTTCATGTTTCATGCTTCATGCTTCATGTTTCATGTTTCATGTTTCATGTTTCATGTTTCATGTTTCATGTTTCATGCTTCATGCTTCATGCTTCATGCTTCATGCTTCATGCTTCATGTTTCATGTTTCATGCTTCATGCTTCATGCTTCATGCTTCATGTTTCATGTTTCATGTTTCATGCTTCATGCTTCATGCTTCATGCTTCATGTTTCATGTTTCATGTTTCATGCTTCATGCTTCATGTTTCATGTTTCATGTTTCATGTTTCATGCTTCATGTTTCATGTTTCATGTTTCATGCTTCATGCTTCATGCTTCATGTTTCATGTTTCATGTTTCATGTTTCATGCTTTATGTTTCATGTTTCATGCTTCATGTTTCATGTTTCATGTTTCATGCTTCATGCTTCATGCTTCATGTTTCATGCTTCATGTTTCATGTTTCATGTTTCATGTTTCATGTTTCATGTTTCATGTTTCATGCTTCATGCTTCATGCTTCATGCTTCATGCTTCATGCTTCATGCTTCATGCTTCATGCTTCATGTTTCATGCTTCATGCTTCATGCTTCATGTTTCATGTTTCATGTTTCATGCTTCATGTTTCATGTTTCATGTTTCATGTTTCATGCTTCATGTTTCATGTTTCATGTTTCATGTTTCATGTTTCATGTTTCATGCTTCATGTTTCATGTTTCTTGTTTCATGTTTCATGTTTCATGTTTCATGTTTCATGCTTCATGCTTCATGCTTCATGTTTCATGTTTCATGTTTCATGTTTCATGTTTCATGCTTCATGTTTCATGTTTCATGTTTCATGTTTCATGTTTCATATTTCATGTTTCATGCTTCATGTTTCATGTTTCATGTTTTATGCTTCATGCTTCATGCTTCATGCTTCATGCTTCATGTTTCATGTTTCATGTTTCATGCTTCATGCTTCATGCTTCATGCTTCATGTTTCATGTTTCATGTTTCATGTTTCATGCTTCATGTTTCATGCTTCATGCTTCATGCTTCATGTTTCATGCTTCATGCTTCATGCTTCATGCTTCATGTTTCATGTTTCATGTTTCATGTTTCATGTTTCATGCTTCATGTTTCATGTTTCATGTTTCATGTTTCATGCTTCATGTTTCATGTTTCATGTTTCATGTTTCATGTTTCATGCTTCATGTTTCATGTTTCTTGTTTCATGATTCATGTTTCATGTTTCATGTTTCATGCTTCATGCTTCATGCTTCATGCTTCATGTTTCATGTTTCATGTTTCATGTTTCATGTTTCATGCTTCATGTTTCATGTTTCATGTTTCATGTTTCATGTTTCATATTTCATGTTTCATGCTTCATGTTTCATGTTTCATGTTTCATGCTTCATGCTTCATGCTTCATGTTTCATGTTTCATGCTTCATGCTTCATGCTTCATGTTTCTTGCTTCATGTTTCATGTTTCATGCTTCATGTTTCATGTTTCATGTTTCATGTTTCATGCTTCATGCTTCATGCTTCATGCTTCATGTTTCATGTTTCATGTTTCATGTTTCATGCTTCATGCTTCATGTTTCATGCTTCATGCTTCATGCTTCATGTTTCATGTTTCATGCTTCATGCTTCATGTTTCTTGCTTCATGCTTCATGCTTCATGTTTCATGTTTCATGCTTCATGCTTCATGTTTCATGTTTCATGCTTCATGTTTCATGCTTCATGTTTCATGTTTCATGCTTCATGCTTCATGCTTCATGTTTCATGTTTCATGCTTCATGTTTCATGCTTCATGCTTCATGTTTCATGTTTCATGCTTCATGTTTCATGTTTCATGCTTCATGCTTCATGCTTCATGCTTCATGTTTCATGTTTGCACTCCGGTAAATAAGTGGATTTAAAAAAAAAAAATTATTGTACAAAGTATTTTTTAATGCTACTGTTTTTTTTCCACATCAATGAACGCCAGGATCTTCTCTGTCAACGAGTTTTTGTACAACGTTATCTCTGTTCCGGGATCCGGCAACTGTCTGTTCCTATCAGTGGGTTATTTCTTGAAACAAACCGTGGAAGAAGGCACTGCACTCTGACTACGGCATAGGACAGTAGATTTCTTTACATACTATAGAAAAAGAGAAGTTAATTTTTTTTTTTTTTTTTTTTTTTTTTTTGTGGTAATTTGGTAACAATTGGACCCGAATTTCTCAAAATTCCTGGACCCGATGTACAAACAAAAATATAAAAAATACACCCGGTTTAGCCCTAGTATAGAATATTACTCAAGTTGTGATTTTTTTACCCAAAAGTCAACAAAATAAAAAAATTCGTCTGCAAGTGCCAGGCGCTAGCTGCCCCTGTATTTTAGGGCTGTCCCACCCCCCCCCCCCCCCCCCAATAAAACGTTGACAAGTAATCTGAACAAACGATTACCTGAACACGTACTCGGACGTTAGAAACCGGTTCACAGAGAGGTGGAGACAATGACGGAGGGACGGGGGGAAAGATTCATTTAACACGGTGTCCAAAAACAACGGTTCTCAAACAGTCGTTAACGTCACTGCAATGGATTCGGGGTACTATCACATTTCTTCGACGTGAAGAACTCATTCTGACAACTTTGGTGTGCAATATATCAAGTATCGACATCTTGTAGGACTTGATAAATCAATAAATTTATTGTATGGTATCAAAACTGGAGTAGTCCTTTAAAAGTCAATAAATTTACTAAAGGGCATCAAAACTGGAGTATTTCTTGATAAATCAATAAATGTATTGTAGGGCATCAAAACTGGAGTGTTCTTTGAAATCTTTTATTAGGATTGAGTCACCTT